ATCGGCTGCCGCCGCTGTCATCACGGGAGAGGGACACTATCACGTTCCACTGCGCGCCTTCTCCTGTCTCCCTCCTGCTTCATTCCTGCCTGCCCCCTTAGCTGCCATATTGGGTGCGCCAGCCGTGCAACTGTCGCTACTCTCGCGGGCTCCCGGGAAGCCCGGCGGAGCTGTGCCCGACGCATGTACAGGCGAGACTTCGCTCGCCGTGGGCGTTGCGAGCAGCGCAACTGCTGCCAAGTGTTATCTTGAGCATGCCTGAGCGAGACCTTGCCCTCCTGGGCGCTGCGGACTGCACAAGCGTGGCCACTCCCGGGGGCTCCCGGGAGGCCCAGGGTGGAGTTCGGCTTTTCGCTGATGGGCCTGTTTTCCACCACCACCACCTCAAGCTGGAGGGGGGAAGGAGGTGGAGGATGAGGAGGAGGAAGAAGAGGAGGAGCAGGAGGAGGAGGAGGAGGAGGAAGAAGAGGAGGAGGCGGAGGAGGAGGAGGAGGACCTCCTCCCCCTCCTACTTATGGCGGTGGTGGCGATGGAAAACAAATCCACCATTCGCAATGCCACTCGCCGACGCTGCGCGCTGCGAACTGCGCAGCTTTTGTCGCATTCGTGGGCCCTTGGAAGGCCCAGCGGTGTAGTGTCTGACGCAGGTCCGAGCGAGAGCTTGCCCTCCCAGGGGGGCTGCTAAGACTGGCCGCCGCTTCCGTGGGCTCCCAAGCGGAAGCGGGCCAGCTGAGAGTGTTGCACAGATCCGATCGGGACCTTACCCTCCCTGGGTGAAGGAAGCAATTGTGGTCACTCTCGTGGGCTCCTGTGAGGCCCAGCAGGGTCGTGTCTCACGCAAGTCCAGACGAGATCTCGCTCTTCTCAGGGCGCTTTCGCCTTTTACTCCGTCCTCTCGCTGTCGTCCCGCTGTCCTTTCGTATCCACCGCATTTCTCTTGGAGCGCCTTCATAAGGTCCGCCGTGTGTTCCATACGGTATAGATCCCGCAAGGGTTTGGACGCCATTACCTGTAATTGCTCGTTGTGGTTGGGCCCGTTGGTTCTGCCATGAGTTGCAGACGGATTGGGTACTCCCCTGGGTGTTACCCCCTTTCTCTGTGTGTCTCTCTGTCTCTGTGTGTGTGTGTGTGTCTCTCTCTCTCTCTCTTTTCTCGGGGGGGGGGGGGACGAGGCTGCAGTAGTCACGTGCTGCATATTGCCGGTTTCGTGTCACAGTGCAGTGTTGCCCCTTTGCGTAATCTGCTGGGCTCCAGTATGGCCAGGCGGTTTGCGGAGCTTCTCGCTGCCACAGGAGGGATGTATCTCCTTTTGCGCAGTTCCAACAGGCGAGTTTTAGAGGCCATGCGGTCGGGTTAGAACATATGGGTGGTTTCACGTGCGAATTATGGAACGGCTTGGCCTGGTACACGGAAGACATGGCGCGATACGACATTCACTAGTACAGAGCTCTCTGGGCCAGCTACAGCGGCGACGTTTTGCCAAATTCTGTTGCGCGCGCGCGCGCGCGCTCGTGCCCCTGTGTGGCACGGTGTCCCGCGCGGTGCTCCGCGACGCCCACCAGCTTCACGGGTCGAGTGCGCGCCCGCCCTTGTGCTTCGTCGGCGAGGCCGAGACGATTGGCTGCGCCTGCAAGCAGGAATATCATACTTCGCACGTGTGCTGCATAGCGCAATGTCGTGTTCGCTTCGGTGCTCGGATGGGGTGCTCCAGAAAGAGGCCTGCCTTCGAGGGATCGGCATTGTTGGCATCCCTTCCCCGGCGGAAGGCGGCGGAAGGCTGGCGGGAGCTGGCGGAAGCCAAACGGCGGCGGAGACGCCAGATGACTTTTGCGAAAGGCCAGCGGAAGGCGGTAGAAGTAAGCATAGGCTCTCCATGAGATGCATTTATTGTTGGATTCGGGGATGTTGGAACGGGCCGCTTCTTTCCTTCGCGGGAAGTGGCCCGGGAGGACTGGGATGGTTAGACCCCTCGTGCTTCTCAGTGCGAGGATTACGCTCAAGATCTGTGCTCTCTTCCATGTTGGCACTGCGCTGAGATCTGTACCTCAGCTCACATCCCCAGGCTACCTGCAGTCCCGGCTTCCCTCCCGCCGTGCCGCCTCAGCGCAATAGTAGTTACGATGGTAGACCGCTTGCAAAGGGAGGGAGATAGATATACACACATACATGCATATATATATATATATATATACATAGATCGAGAGAGAGAGAGAGAGAGAAAGAGAGAGAGAGAGAGAGAGAGAGAGACTGAGAAAACAAGACATCGCATGCGTACATGAACAAAAAGAAGGGCTAGCGAGACGCAGTGATCTCGCTGCAGCCGCATGCCACCGATGGCCTCGCACCCACTCCGCAGCAGTCGTAGCCGCGGGTGCGCCACGATCCGGAAGCACCCTCGGGGGAGGGTCGGGGCCACGGGCTCGAGGAGAGTGCGGAGGAGGGGGTTGAGTGAGGAGGGGGTGTCAGAGGGGACAAAAACACACAGACACAATTAATCCTCGATTCCCAGAAAATATAGGAAGTGGGGGGGAAGACAAACCCAGAAAATATGGGAAAATATAGGGAATCTTTTTCCCTACCTAGGCTCTGCCTAGAAGGGTTCTTACTTTGTGTGCTAAAGGGGGCGGGCAGTGTAACCCACCCCGGGCGGTTCCCCCGGTTGCGCCCCCCTGGTTCCCCCGGTTGCGCCCCCTGGGTTCCCCTAGCTTAGCTTAGCTTAACTTACCCTGAGCTTAGCTTCGCTTAGCTTTAGCTTAGCTTAGCTTAGCTTAGCTTAGCTTAGCTTAGCTTAGCTTAGCTTAGCTTAGCTTAGCTTAGCTTAGCTTAGCTTAGCTTAGCTTAGCTTAGCTTAGCTTAGCTTAGCTTAGCCTAGCCTAGCCTAGCTTAGCTTAGCTTAGCTCAGCTCAGCTTAGCTTAGCTTAGCTTAGCTGCTGCTAGCCCAGCTTAGCTTAGCTTAACTTACCCTGAGCTTAGCTTCGCTTAGCTTTAGCTTAGCTTAGCTTAGCTTAGCTTAGCTTAGCTTAGCTTAGCTTAGCTTAGCTTAGCTTAGCTTAGCTTAGCTTAGCTTAGCTTAGCTTAGCTTAGCTTAGCCTAGCCTAGCCTAGCCTAGCTTAGCTTAGCTTAGCTCAGCTCAGCTTAGCTTAGCTTAGCTTTGCCTAGCCCAGCTTAGCTTAGCTTAGCTTAGCTTAGCTTCGCTTCGCTTCGCTTAGCTTAGCTTAGCTTCGCTTCGCTTCGCTTAGCTTAGCTTAGCTTAGCTTAGCTTAGCTTAGCTTACCCCATCGTAGCTTAGCTTAGCTTAGCTTAGCTGTTGCTTTCCTGAATGCTCCAACTCCTAGGTAGGGTCGCACTGGGATAATTATTTGTGTGTATTTATTTGTGTGTCCCAGGGCCCCTCCAGGGTGGGGCCCCGGGGCTGCGATCAGGAACAGGACCCTGGACTCGAGGAGCATGGGCAGGAGGGGGGATATGGGCGAGGATGGGGACGGGCGAGGAGGGAGGCGCAGGAGGAGGAGCCGATGGGGCCGCCCAGTGAGCCAGCGCGCGAGGCTCCGCGCGGCCCCCGCGGCGGGAGCGCTGGGCGGACCGCCGCCAGGCCTGCTGCGGCGGAAGGGGGAAGGTTTTTGTTTGCGAGAGGCGGCGGATGTGGAGGGCACGCGCGCCGATCGGGCCGGCCGGCAGGGGGGGGCCTCGGGAAAGGGGGCGGGGGGCGATGCGAAAGCTGCGCCAGGTGGGCCGCCAGGTCTGCTGCGGCGGAAGGGGAAGACTTTTGCGAGAGGCGGCGGATGAGTGAAGGTCACGCACGCCGATCGGGCCGGCCGAAAGGGGGGTAATGGGAGGGGGGGGATACGAGAGCTGTTGCCTGCAGCTGGTTTCGGCCGCGCTGCCGGGCGCGCTCCTCGATCGAGTGGCGGGGGGCGCGCCGAAGAGACCTGCTGCACTAGCTGGCTCGCTGAGCCCAGCTTGTTATCTCCCCTTTTCTTCGTCGGCCGCGAGTCGAAAGCCACTCGCACGCTCTTCTCCCGGGCAGCATCGCCCTGACAAGGCGGCTGGGGAGAGGGGGGGAAGGGAAACGCAGTGCTGGTAAACCAGCATGAACCTCGGAGGGCCTGTCTCGGTCCGACCGATCCGATTTGACATCGATTCCTGCCAGCTCGGTCTGATCTAGTTCCGACGTTCCGACGATCCGATGCGGCCCGTTGCTTCCGTGGTATTTTTGTGCATTCTAGCGCGGCCGCCTGGATCCGATTCCGATTCCGTGCCGATGCGGCCCAATTCGAACACATGGCACCACTTGGAAGAAAGGATAACTATGCTTTTCTGATGCATGTGAGGCGCGTGGTCAACTTTATGCTCTGATGAAGTCTGCCGCCCGGGACATGCGGAGTAATCCTGAGGATCTGTGTTGTGCAGCAGTTCAGGCCTCTGTGGGCGCCTCGGCCCAAACCCATGGCACCTACAGGGTGCGCATTGCGGGTCGCGGTCGCAGTCGCAGCGTCGATCCGATAAGATTCATCGCCCAAGATGCGCTCTGGCCCCCCGAAGTCATTTTGGCTCAAGATGCGCAGCCATTTTGAGCCAACATCCGGAGTCTCGAAGCCAGACCCATTCTGCCCCCCCCCCTCGGGTCAAGAGATGGGGGTCAATGCAAACGGGGGTCAGCAAGAGCGCCGGATCTTGCAGGATCCTGCAGGGCCAGGGTCGCATTGACCCGGGTTTGGGTGCAGGATCTTGCAGGATCTTGCAGGATCCTTCGCATTGACCCGGGATTGGGTGCAGGATCTTTCAGGAGTCTGCAATGCCTGACTGGCCCAGGTCTGGATTGACCCGGGTCAGAAGATCCCCGACTACCCAATTTTGCCATTCATGCTCCAATTCGTACAGTCGGGGCGCTGAAGAAGGAACCCTTTTCGTTGGGGAGGGGCTCGGTGTTCCTTAATTGTTCCACACCTTGCCCAAGGTTTTCCTTACGCTCTCGATGGGACGTCGAAGTTCAACTCGTGGAACTACTGGGGCCCCGTTCCTTGCTGAGGGTTCCGTAGGTCAACGCCTCGACTGTAGCCGTTTTGGCCCAAGCTGCGCTCGGCCCCCCCCCCCCTCGAGAGGCGCGGGGGGCCGCGCGCGGCCGGCAGGGCCGGCGGCGGGGGCCCGATCCCCGCCCCCGCCATGGCGCGCAGGCCGGCGATGGAGGCCGTCCAGAGAGCGGCGCGGAAGGCGGCGGCCGGCGCGTGCGACGAGGACGCGTCGGAGGGAGGAGGGCGGCTAGACGCAAGAGTGACCTCTCGCCGGAGTGACCTTTGGCTTGGAATCGCTCGGACGTGTGCATTTTTCCTTCGGCGAGGGCCATCGAGGAACATCCTTGACCATTTGGCGAAACAACCACGCAGGAAACCGAAAAAAACAGAAAAAATGGACGTCCGAGCGATGGCGAGTTGGTGCGGGCACAGATGGGCCCCCAGATGGCTCAAAACGAAGCAGTGGCAGCTGCCTGCGCGCCCAGGTGTGGTGCCCCCGCGGCCGCCAAAAGGCCGCGCACCAGAGGTCGCTCTTACCCAGGGTCACTCTTGCGTGTAGTCGAGGGAGGAGAAGCGACGCCAACACCACCAGGGGGCCCACCGTGCCACCTCCAGCGAGGAGGTCCGCGATGCCTCCCCGAGCTGGAGGCCGGGGATGTCTCGAGCGAGGGGGGGGGCCACAGCACCAGGGGGAGCCTCCTTGCCTCCTCGCATCTCCTCGCCCTGTCAGAGACCCGAACCCGAATCATTAGGGGTAACTCGGGTCAGGGCTAACTCGGGTTCGTTTTTCGAGAATCCGAACCCGAGTTGCCCCGGGCCCGAGTTACCCCGGATAACTCGGGCGTCCAGAGCCCCAAATCATCAGGGATAATTCGGGTCAGGGCTTACTCGGGTTCGTTTTTCGGGAATCCAAACCCGAGTTACCCCGGACCCGAGTTACCCCGGATAACTCGGGCGCCCAACCCTGGTGGTGTTGGTGTCGCCTTTCCTTGTTCCTGCACGCAGGGCCGTTCTCGAGCCGATCCATCCGATGCGGCCTCGATTCCGGCCGGCTCGCAGCGATGCGATCCCGACGGTTTCCGACGAGCCGAGGCGACTGGACGCTCGTGGGGCGCTGCCGTGCATGCCGGCGGGGCCGGTGCAGCTCGATTTCGACTCCGTACCGATGCGGTCCGATCCGACGCACATTGCAGGATCCTGCAGGGCCAGGGTCGCATTGACTTGGGTTTGGGTGCAGGATCTTGCAGGATCCTTCGCATTGACCCAGGATTGGGTGCAGGATCTTGCAGGATTTTGCAATGCCTGACTGGCCCAGGTCTGGATTGACCCGGGTCAGAAGATCCCCGACTACGCAATTTTGCCATCCATGCTCCAATTCGTACAGTCGGGGCCCTGAAGAAGGAACCCTTTTCGTTGGGGAGGGGCTCGGTGTTCCTGGATTGTTCTTCAGTTTGCCTTCTGTTTTCCAGAGGTTTTCCCTGGGAAATCGAGGTTCAACTTATGGGCGAAGGGGGCCTCGTTCCTTATTCAGGGTTCCTCAAGTCAACGCCCCCACCGTACCCGATTTTCTGATTCGATGTTGACTGATCTTGCGAGGATGTCGACGTTCGCCCCCCCGTGGCGGAAGCTGTCTCCTTGAAGCCGGTGGTTCGCATAGGGACCAGGAGCAGCACCAGGCTCTCCCGCGCCTCCTACGTCTCCTCCGGCGAGAGCGGCGCGGGCACACCCACAGTCGCCGTTCAGGATGTCGACGATTCCTCCCCCGCAGCGGAAGCGGTCGCCTTCAAGCCGCTGATTCGCAGAGGGACCAGGAACCATACCAGCCTGTCCCGCTCCTCCTACGCCTCCTGCGGGAGCGGCCCGAGTACACCCCCAGACCCCGCGCAGCTCAAGATGATCAGCGAGACTAGCGCCGTGGATAAGACGCCGACGTTTCTGCGACAGATCACGGGCGGCCTTGCGATGCTGACCAAGGGGAAGTCGAACGACCTGAGGGGCGGCGGACTGGGCGGCTTCCTGACCAAGCAGTTCTCAAAGGGCTCGCTCGACAAGAGGCTCAAGCCCCGAATCTGCTTAGAGGAATTGAGAGAGATGATTCATCAGAATCTGGCCGAGGAGCCTTCTCTGAAGCTGTTCGACTACTACAAGACCGAGGGCGTGGCGCAGCTTATCGCCAAGAGCACGATATTTGAGAATGTTACCCTCTTTGTGATTGCCCTGAATGCCATTTGGATGGCTGTCGACACAACTTGGAATACATCTGATTCAATTGTTGATGCCGATCCTGTGTTCATTGTCGCGGAGAACGCTTTTTGTATTTATTTTACAGTGGAGTGGGTCATTCGGCTTATGGCTTTCGAGAGAAAACTGTATGGGCTCAACTCGAATTGGTTTATCTTTGACACGGTTCTCGTCGTCATGATGGTGTTGGAGACTTGGGTGGCTGTAGGCATCGTACTGCTTCTCGATGACGACAGTTTCTCCCTCGGCGACGTGGCGATTCTGCGCCTCCTCCGCCTGATGCGGCTCTCCCGGCTGGTGCGCATGCTGCGGGCGCTCCCCGAGCTGCTGATCCTGGTGAAGGGAGCGCTCCGGGCCATGAAGACCGTGGCGTTCGTGATAAGCCTGCTGCTCGCGATCACCTACGTCTTCGGCGTCGCGATGGTCCTGCTGCTAAAGGGCACCCCTGCTGGCGACGACATGTTCTCCACCGTGCCGCAGGCAATGTATTCGCTCCTGCTCTACGGTACGCTGCTGGACAGTCTCGTGCTCGCGTGCGCCAAGCTTGAGGCAGGGCTGGTCCCAAACGCTGTTCTGCTGGATTTCGGCTGCGTTTTGTTTTTTGTTTTCGAGAGGGAGGTGCAGGAAAACAAACAGAGCAACATGAATGGCAAACGAAACCAAAACGAAACCATAACGAGAAATCACGTTTAGGTCCAGCCCTGGCTTGAGGAGTCCAGCGTCGTCAGCCTCGTGGTCTTCTTCGTCTACGTTGCCCTCGCCGCCCTCACCGTTCTCAACATGCTGATCGGCGTGCTCTGTGAGATGGTGAGCGTGGTGGCCCACCAGGAGAAGGACCGGATGCTGACCACTTGTGCGGAGGAGAAGCTGGCACTCGTGATCAAAGAGCTGGATCAAGACGAGGACTTTCGGCTGTCGAAGCAAGAGTTCCTGAGCATCCTGGTGAATCCGACGGCGGCGCAGGCTCTGGCAGACATCGGCGTCGATCCGATCGGCGTCATCGACTTCGCCGACCTCATCTTCTCGAACGAGGTGGGCCAGGAGACGGACCTGAGCTTCGAGGAGTTCATGGAGGTCATCCTGCAGCTGCGCGGAAGCAACAGCAGCACCGTGAGGCACATGGTCGAGCTGAAGCACATGATCGCGCAGCAGCTCGATGACCTCACCAGACAAGTGCAGGAGCACCAGGATTGGCGGCGCGCACAAGGGGGTGGAGGGAGGGGGGAGGGCTTCTTAGAAGAAGGCTACTTCTTAGAAGGCGCCAGCCTTACATCTCTAGAGAAGGCCCGCGTCTTCTAAGAAGCAGGGGTGCTTCTAAGAAGCCTTCCCCCCTCCCCCTACCCCCCTGTGCGCGCCGCCAACAGGAGCACATGGCTGCTGCATGCTCGTGCCCTCCCGCCCCGTTCCAGACCGAGCCGGCGGGGCGGCTGGCCTGCCTCCGGCCCGGCGAGGGCGCCGAGACGCCGCCGGGGCGGGCCAGCGCCGACGCCCCTATGGTGTCGCAGGATCAGGGGGGCACACGCGAACCCTACCCCTACCCCCCACGATTTCTGAGGGGGAGGATGGGGTTCACTTCGCTCGGGAGGTCCCGAGCGAAGTGAACCCCACCCTCCCCCTCAGAAATCGTGGGGGGTAGGGGTAGGGTTCGCGTGTGGCCCCCTAAGGATCTCCCTCCCGAGAGGGGCGTCGGCCACTCCCACAGGGCCTGCGACGAGCTGCCCCCTCCCCCGGGGAGGCTCGCGAGGGCCACGTGCGAGCTGGCCCCAGACGTCCCGCCCATGGCCAGCGAGGATGCCGCGGGCCGCGCGGGGGGCCCGTCCTTCGTCCCGAGGGCCGCGTCGCCGGCCTCGCAGAGGCCCGGCGCGCTCAGCCCTCGCGGCTCTGCCTGCTCGTCCTGCCCGTCCCACTCCGACGGCCCGGACCTGTCGGAGGAGCTGAGCGCACTGTCCAGCCGGACGCAGCGCATCGAGGACCTGAGCCGGCTGGGGGGTCTCAGGTGGCCCAGCACTGGTTCCGACCAGCAGGGGAGGGGAGCGAGGTTCGCGGTGCTGGGTTTTTTTTTTTGAGCCCTATTCGGTCTTCGGAGATCGTTTTCTGGCCCCGGGATCGTCAAAAACGGGTCCGGGGTGAAAAACTTCACCACATGGACCCTGGGAGAGGTACGGGGATTAGTTTTGAGTGGATTTGCCCAGGCCCCCCTTCTTGACCGATTTTCTCGGGGCCCATCGGGTTCAGATCCCCCGGCCGCCTCTTGATCGAGGACACCTTGGCCGAGGTCTTTGCCGAGGTCAAGAAGCTCAGCGCCATGTTCGCGACGGATGCTTCGCCCTGCGGGGACGTGCCCTCCATCGACGAGCAGGTGCCGCTGGCGGGTTCAGTGCCGCTGCCGCCGCTCGTCATACCCGGGGTTCCAGTCCCGGCGACGCCGCTGGGCGGGTGAGTTACAGAGGCTGGCATCCAGTCTTCTCCTGTGCGACCCCGGCTGCTGCTGTGATTCCTTCCCCTCCCCTCGCGTGGCGAGCGGCGTTTTTCAAGTAGACTGGCCCTTTTTCCGAACGGTCTGTTTGAGCGCGGACCGTACGATGGCCTCCCTGCCAGCGCCGTCCTTTCGCTGCCCGGACCTGCAATGGAGGGAGACTGCAGAAACAACGAAGATGATCGATTCGAAGACGACCGCTCCCACCTCACAGGAGGCAAGTTCGGGCCGTCGCTCAGGCGTCGTCGTCGTCACTGCAGGTCCGTCGCCGTGTTTAGGCGTGGCCCATCGAAAAAACAAACCGCACAAATCATAGGCTTTCGGAGCTCAGCACGGATTTCTTGGATCGGGAAGCGCGCCAGGGGCGGCGCCAGAGTCGCCGCTGTGCGGGCTGGGGGGGCCCAGCGCCGACCCAATGCGTCCGCGTGGGCCTAGGACAACTTTCGCCTATACCGTACTTGTTCCTCTGGCTGGGGCGGCGTCGCCGTCGTCGTCGCCGCCGCCGTCGTCGTCGTCGTCGTCGTCGTCGTCGTCGTCGTCGTCGGCGTCGTCGTCGCCGTTCAGGTTGTGGTCGTCGTCGTCGTCGTCGTCGTCGTCGTCGTCGTCGTCATCGTCGTCGTCGTCGTCGTCGTCGTCGTCGTCGTCGTCGTCGTCGTGAACGTCGTCGTCGGCGTCGTCGTCGTCGTCGTCGTCGTCGTCGTGGTCGTCGTCGTCGTCGGCGTCGGTCGGCGCTCAGGCGCCGGCGCCAGCGGCCCGCGGGCGGCCGCGCCGCCCCGGCCTCCCGGGGCCGCGGCCGCGCCGACGGCCCCCGCGACGCCCAGCAAGGCGCGGCCCGCCGCCGCCGCTCCTTCAGAGCCCCGAATCATCAGGGGTAACTCGGGTCAGGGCTAACTCGGGTTCGTTTTTCGGGATTCCGAACCTGACTTACCCCGGACCCGACTTACCCCGGATAATTCGGGCGTCCAGAGCCCCGAATCATCAGGGGTAACTCGGGTCAGGACTAACTCGGGTTCGTTTTTCGGGATTCCGAACCCGAGTTACCCCGGGCCCGAGTTACCCCGGATAACTCAGGCCCGGGGCAACTCGGCTGGGCTGAGACCCCTCAAGAAACGATCGTAAAACGACGCGAAGATCGGGACAAAATCGGATCGGGATAACTCGAAGTCTCTGAGAATCGGCGGGTTTGGAGGATGTATTGGGCGCCGCGGCCGCTCCAGAGCGTTCCGGAACGCTCTGAGAGCGCTCCGGAACGCTCTGGAGCGATTTATCCCGATCCTAGCCCTGTGTTAGATCGGGGCTCAAGAGACGGGGGTCAAGGCAAACGGCGGTCAGTCAGAGCGCCGGATCTTGCAGGATCTTGCGGAGCTGGGGCTGCATGGGCCTGGGTTTGGGCGCAGGGTCCTGCAGGATCTTGCAGGATCCGGCAAGGCCTGACTGGCCCGTGTTTTGCATTGACCCGGGTCGGTAGATCAGGCCTGACTGGCCCGTGTTTGCATTGACCCGGGTCAGTTGATCCCCGAGTCGAAGAACAGAGAATCGCATGAAGATAATGTCTCGGAGGTCCGCTCGGGCGTTGCGCAATGGGGGGGGGGGGGGCGACCATCGGCCAGTGGCAGAACGTCGGCCCAGACAAGGGGGCCGAGGAAATCTGCACTGATTTGTTGGATAATTGGTACAGTCGGCCCAGATTAGTAGGTCGACCCTGCCAAATCAAGGGTACCCTTGTGTCCTGAGTCTCGCGACCCATGCTTCCTACACTCCTGTGGCAACGTGGCCCTCGGAAGGGTCTTGTGTCCTCTCGCGTGTCCTGTCCAATCGAGTCCGACTGCACTCGAGTGTGCCGGTGCAGTCCCCAGCCGGTTTCGCTAAGCGACGCGCGCCTCGCCGCAGGCATTCGCGGGCGGTCGTGGGCGTCGTTCGCGGACTGTCCCGCTCGGGTCCGCGCGGGGCGCGGTGCCGGTCCGCCCGCGGAGTGCCCCCCCTTGGCAGTTTGCACCGAAGGGCGTTTTGCCAAAGTGTGCTCCTGTCAATCCTCGAGACAAGGCTTAAGTCGGGCCTGTCCTTTTACAGGAGGAATATTCAAAAAGAGTTAAAACATACTGCGGGGACGGATTTCTCATTTTTAGAGCACTTTGGAGCATTTTGGGCTATTTCAATTTTTTCGTCCAACATCCGCCTGTATGGGGGACATGCCCGACCTAAGACACATTGGGGATAGAAAGAGAGAGAGAGAGAGAGAGAGAGAGAGAGAAAAACAAAAAAAAAACCGTGCACATCACAGGTGCGTTGGCATCGAATTCTGCTCGGGATCTCGGGATGCTGTGTGATTCGGACGCCATCAATTCATAACATGCCCGCAGGCCCTTTTGTTCGAATTGCTTTGGAGGAAAAAGGGCCCCAAGAGACGCTTTCCCCACGCATCCGCGTAACTTCCGCCATGGTAGCGGAGAGCGTGGCTCTGTGGTGAACTTCGCAGATCAGATCCACGGGAAGACTGAGGACGTGCGCTGCCCATGGCAGCGGCGCCCAGAGAGCAGCATGTGGATTGCAGAGGCGACATCAAGCTGCCAGAGTTCAGTGGCAGAGATGAGGACTGGCCCAGCTGGTCCATCAAAACTCACGCGTTCTTCGCGCTGATGGGCTGGGATGACCCCATCGACAACGTTGAGGCCCAGCCAGCGCTCGCGGTGGACAACGTCAGCAAGCGCGAGCGCACGGCAGCGACGAGCAAGCTGCTGCATGCCTTTCTGATCCCCAAGACCCAGCGCAAGGCGCTGGCGATGGTTACGCTCGCAGGCAGGCACGAGGGTTTCGTCGCCTGGCGTGCGATCAAGACCGAGTTCGAGACCGGTGTGGGCAACAGATTCGCAGCCATGCTCAGCGGCCTGCTCAAACCTAGGTGGGACGATCAGAAGGCGTTCGCCGACCAGCTCGTTGACTGGGACAACGAGGTGGCGAGGTACGTCATGCAGGCGGGGAAGGACTTCGGTGATGAGTTTCGCATCGCCGCGCTGCTCGCCCATAGCCCCGAGCCGTGCAAGACCGTGCTACGCGATGCTCCGATGGCCGCCGAGGTCTCGCACATGGCGCTGAGGACCCACCTGAGAGAGTGGATGGCGTCTGGGCAGGTCTTCGCAGCTAGCGGCGCGGTGGGCCAAGGCGCGGCGCCGATGGAGATCGGTGCGATCTCGGGCCATGCCCTGCCGCGGCGTCCCTGGGCCAAGCGCGAGGGCGGCAGGCCGGGCGGCGGCGAGGGTGGCGAGATGGGCGGCAAGGGCGACAAGGGCGGCAAAGGCAGCAAGAAGGGAGTCAAGAATGACATGCTCAAGGGCGGCACCCCCGCCAAGTTCGAGGGAACCTGCAACTGGTGCCAGAAACAAGGGCACAAGGAGAAGGACTGCTGGCACAAGGCGGCTGGCAAGCCTCGGGTGCCGACGTCAGCGCCCCCGAAGGCGGCCGCAGTCCAGCAGGCCTCTGCAGGCGCTGAGGGCCAGTGGACCGTGGGCGCGGTGGCCGCGGGCTCCGACGGCGACGAGGTCGGCTGGTTCTTTGGAGTCAGGAGCTCGGTCGGAGGCTGCCGCAGGGGGGGGCGCAGAGGCCTCATCCTCGCAGGCAGGGACAGCGACGAGCACCTCTGCGGCCAGGCGTTCGGAGCGCAGCATCCGACAGTTCATGGGGGGGGGGGGGGGGGCACTGCCCCCGAGCTCACCGCGGTGAGCGGCCAGAGGCTTGGTACCGAGGGGCTCCGTGAAATCCCGATGGTCGTCGGTGGCGAGAAGGGTCGCCAGCCATGCTTGGGAGGCCTCAGAGTGAGCAACGACCTCGCCCCTCAGGACGTGGTGCTCGGCCTCGGGAAGCTGGCTCGCAAACAGTTCAGGTTTGTCCTTGAGGAAAGTGGCCCGCGCGCCGTAAACCTCAGGGCGGCCGAGCGGGCGGGCGTGGAGCTAGTTGGCAACGCGTTCTATTTCGCCGCGCAGATCCACGACGCGATGGGCGAAGCCAAGCTCGCAGCCCGCCAGGGTCGCTGCTGCAGGTGCCACGGGAGCTCCGTGGGGGGCGGCGCGTGGAGAGGGTCCCCCGCCGCGCCCTGGAGCTCGATGGTCACGTGACCCAGCGCCACCAGATGCAGGAGCTGCGCCACCGCGGGCGCAGGAGGCGGCGGCGCCACCGAGGGCGCAGGAGGCGGCGGCGCCCGCGCAGGGCCATGAGGCACCTGCGGCGGCGCAGCCGCCGGGGCGGTCATGCGTCGAGGAGCTTGGGCCAAGCTCGAGGATCGACGCCATGCAGAAGCGCCTCAAGGAGATCTGCGCCCCGCACTACGGGGCCAAGGCTCAGTGCTGGGCGCGGCTCGCCGAGTACGAGGGCAGACGCAAGGTGGGGGCGGCGACGGATGACTACCGCGAGCTAAGGCGCGAGGAGATGACGCGTCAGGCGGAGACGGGGCGGGCGCTGGAGCCGACCACGTTCTCCGACGTCTGCGAGCCGACGCCGGCGGAGAGACGGCGCCGCGAGGGGGGCCAGCCTTGCCCACCGCGGCGCTGGCGCGAGCACTGCCAGATGGGGCGGGGGCGTGACAGGCCCCGCGAGCTTCCTGATGCGGAGGTGGAACGCCTCCCCGCGGTCGGGCTTGACCTGGCGTTCTTCAAGGGTGAGGCGGCCGACGCCGTGGAGGCGGGCCCCCACGCCGAGGATGGCCAGAGACAGGATGAGGGGGTGGTACTGGTGGTCGCGGATGCCGACGCGGGTGCCATGATGAGTGCCCCGAAGCCTGACCGACGCGCTGACCCCTGCGCGGCAGCAGCCACGGTGGCGTTCATCAGGAGCCTTTTCCACCAGAAGGTTATCTTAAGGCCGGACCACGAGGGCGCCATGGTGGGCCTGGCCAACAAGGTCGGGGCAGAGCTGCCCAACCGTGTGGTCGTGAGACCTGCCCCCGCCTCCAGCGTCCAGTCGAACCCTTCCGGGAACGCCAGTGACATCATCCAGGCGCAGTTCCGCGCGAGCAGGGGCGCGCTGGAGGTGCGACTGGGGGCTAGGGTCCGACCCGGCACGGCCATGTACAAGTGGTTGCAGCGCCGCGCGGGCTGGGCGCGCACCAACCTGAGGATCAAGGCGGGCGGTCGCACCGCACATGAGGACCTCTACGGCCACGCCTACACCGTGGAGATGGCTACCCCAGGGGAGTCCGTC